CGTGATAGCCTAGTGACTAAATCCTCCTTTTGCATGCACTGGGATCTCATATGGGCACCAGTTTGTATCCTGGCTGCTCCACTTCTCATCCAGCTCCCTGCTTGTGGCCTGGGAAGGCAGTCTAGGATGACCCAAAGCCTTGGGACCCCACATTCGTGTGGGAGATCCGGAAGAGGCTCCTAGCTCCTGGCTTCACCTCATCTCAGCTCCAGCCATGGCGGCCACTTGAGGAATGAACTAGTGGATGAAATAGCTTTCTCTCTGTCTCTCCTCTCTGTGTATCTGCCTTTCCAATAAAAATAAATCTCTAAAGGAAAAAAAAGTAATTACTAGAGAAAGCAGTAAATCTATAATTTAAAAAGTGAAAATTTCTTTATAAATGAAAAGTGCTAATGTACAAGGTCAAGATTCTATAAAAATTATTGAGTTTGATAATGCTATTCCATTTGAATGACAATAATCTACTTTATCTACCTAAGGTTCAAAAGATTTTATTATTTGATAATATTCTATCTAATAGTACTCTATTGAATAGTTCTATTAACCAATAGAATTATGAATTTTATTGGTAAGTTAACAGTACAACATCTGGGGCCCGGCGCGGTGGCGCAAGTGGTTAAGGTCCTCGCCTTGCACGCCTGGGATCCCATATGGGTGCCGGTTCTAATCCCGGCAGCCCCGCTTCCCTTCCAGCTCCCTGCCTGTGGCCTGGGAAAGCAGTCGAGGACGGCCCAAAGCTTTGGGGCCCTGCACCCGCGTGGGAGACCCGGAAGAGGCTCCTGGCTTCGGATCGGCATAGCATCGGCCCGTTGCGCTCACTTGGGGAGTGAATCATCGGACGGAAGATCTTCCTCTCTGTCTCTCCTCTCTGTATATCTGCCTTTCCAATGAAAAAATAATAAAAATAAATCTTTAAAAAAAAACAGTATGACATTGAGTATTTCTCATGTTGCAAACATTTTATCATATGCCCTTGAAATAGAAACTACAAAAGTGTAGAAAGACCGAATTCTTTTAGTTGCTGGAGCTTAATCCTTTGTAGGTGGTAGGGAGCAGAAAAAAAAAAAGAAAACATGCTTTTTGTAGGGTTTATTTCTTTTTAAATTTTATTTACTTATTTGAAAGACACAGTGAAGCTGAAAGAGACAGAGCACACGACCTTCCACCTTGCTGGTTCACTCCCCCAAAGGCCCTCAACACCGAGTGCTAAGCCAGGCCCAAGCCAGAAACCAGAAACTATCTGGATCTCCCATATGGGTGACAGGGACCCGGGTGCTTGGGCCATCATCTGCAGCCTCCCAGGGACATTAGCAAAAAGCTGGATGGGAAGCAAAAGAGCTGGCTCTGGATCCAAGGTTCTCCAACATTTGTGGGCATCCCAGATGGCAACTTCATCCATTGCCCTTCAACACCTATCCTTCTGCAGGTCTTACACATCCAAATTCTCTCATCACTTAACACTTTGTGATTATGCCCAGTGCCAGCCTTCTGTGCTTTCCCTTTCAATAGCGGGCCTGTGGTGGACCTCCAGAGACCCACAAAATCAAGTAGCGAGAAAGCAGAAAGTTAAATGCAGCGGGGAAAGAAGGACTTCGTGTTTAAAATGACCAGAACAACTTCACATGTAGCTTGGTCATCCAATCCCACGTCATAAAGTGCAAGCACAAATGACTGCATTCACCCACTGGAACAGACAGGATAAGATTTGCCCAGTTCACATCTATCATTCTGTTCTATTTCAAAGCTATAATTTGCCCAGCAGTAGGAGGTGTCTCTGTGTCAACAGTTCTATGCCCATCCTGCTGAAGATTCCTTGTTCACCTTAAAATCCCAACCCTTTATACCTTTTAAGTGCACTTTTATTTGTTTGTTTTGCTTTTATTTCAAAGGAAGAGAGAGAGAGACCTTTCATCGTGTAGTTTCCTTCACAGATGCTGGCAGGGCTATGCCAAGAGAGGAGATGTCAGTATGGGTTTCTCACATGGAGAGCAGGGACCCAAGCACCAAAGCCATTATCTGCTGCCTCCAGTGGTGTGCACTAACAGAACTCCAGATTGGAATCAAACATATGCAACTCTGATATGGAATGCAGGCATCCCACGTGGCTGGTGAACCACCCATAACCCTGCTGCCCTGACTCTCTCATCTTAACTTGTGGTTGCATCTCATTTCCTCTCAAGCTGTCACAGTAATATTCCGGGGAACTTGTGAAGGCCGATACTATGATCAGCTTCTCCATACGAGAGAACTATCAAGACACAGTGAACAGAGACAAGTGCCCCAAGACCAGGGCATCAACACATTTCTCTTCTCTTTTTAAAAATATTTATTTATTATTGGAAAGGCAGATTTAAAAAGAGGAGAGACACAGAGAAAGAGCAAGAGCCTCTTGTCTGATGATTCACTCCCCAAGTGGCTGCAACAGCAGGAGCTGGGCTGATCTGAAGCCAGGAGCCAGAAGCTTCTTCCAGGTGTCTCATGCAGGTGCAGGGTCCCACGGCTTTGGGCCGTCCTTGACTGCTTTCTCAGGCCACAAGCAGGGAGCTGGATGGGAAGTGGAGCAGCCAGGATATGAACCGGCACCCATATGGGACCCACAAGGATGCAAGGCGAGGACTTTAGCCAAGACCACCAGTGCATCTCTTGAATGGACCATGTTCCTGCCAGTTTCACACCTTTACAACACCCTCCTCCCTGGAGAGGCTTCTTGTCTGTGTACAACCTGCCCCTCATGCACAGTGGAAGGCACAAAGTAGGCTGAAAACAGGAAGCTGTTAGTGAAAAGTATTTATCTCGCCTACCCATGTATGCGCCCTGTGCCATCAAACAGGCCATTTGGGTTTTCTTCCAGGAAAAATGGGAGATCACATCTGTTCTACCCATTTCAAAATGAAAGAAAAAGAAAGAAGCAACAGAGAGCATATACATGAGTGTCCACAGAGCCGCATGAAAGACCCATGGCGGTCAAGGTCCACAGAAGCCCTACAGTGCAGAGGCCTTCCAGGCCTTTAAGCCAGCCTCTGCTGACCTCTCCCCTTGACACTTCCCACTAGGCAGTTCATCTAAGCACTGCACGTGTTGTCATCTTATGTGGCAACTACAGCATTTCCAGGCCAACAATGCCTTCCTTCCCTGAGCCTAGCACGCAGTGGTAAGCGTAGTCCTACAGTGTGTTGCCACCAAAGCCACGAATAAACTGGTGGCTTGAACTGAAAACAGAATCTGACCCTCCTGCAACCAGGTACTCATTTACATTAAGCAAAAAACTTAATGAGTTTCTCTGGGGTACATGGTTATATCACACACTAATAAGAATACTCACTTAGAGCCAGGGCTTTCTCTAAAACACCTCGCTGTAATCAAGCTCAGGGAACTGGTATGGCTGAATCACACATGAGGAACCAGAGGCTCCCGAGCTAAAGGAATCCTGCCAAGTCACTCCACAGAGACTTATCCAATGTCCTTTACTTAGATTCAGGGGCCTTCACCAGGTAAAGTCTTAATGGGCACATTTGCAAGTCAAAATCTATCTTCCTGGGCCCAGTGGTGTGGCCTGGCAGCTAAAGTCCTCGCCTTGAACACGCCAGGATCCCAGATGGGTGCTGGTTCTAATCCCGGCTGCTCCACTTCCCATCCAGCTCCCTGCTTGTGGCCTGGGAAAGCAGTCAAGGACAGCCCAAAGCCTTGGGACCCTGCACCCGTGTGGGAGACCTGGAGGAAGTTCCTGGCCCCTGGCTCCAGATCAGCACAGCACCGGCCGCTGCGTTCACTTAGGGAGTGAATCATTGGACGGAAGATTTTCCTCTCTATATCTCCTTCTCTGTGTATATCTGACTTTGTAATAAAAATAAATAAATCTTTTTTAAGAAAAGATTTATCTTCCTCCCTCTTTCCCTTCCTTCCTTCTCTCCCTTTCTTAAGATTCATTGATGAGGGGGCCTGGCACAAAAGCCTAGTGACTGAATCTTTGCCTTGTATCCACTGGGATCCCATATGGACACCAGTTTGTGTCCAGGATGCTCCACTTCTACCCATCCAGCTCCCGCTTGTGGCCTGGGAAAGCAGTTGAGGATGGCCCAAAGCCTTGGGACCCTGCACCCATGTGGGAGACCTAGAAGAAGCTCCTGGCTCTTGGCTTTGGATTGGCTCAGCTCTGGCTGTTGAGGCCACTTGGGGAGTGAACCAGGGGCTGGTTCTCTGACTCTCCTTCTCTCTGTATATCTGCATTTACAATGGAAATAAATCTTAAAAGAAAAAAAAAGATTTATCCATGGGTCTGGCATTACGGCATTGTGGGTGAAGCCACCACCTGAAGCACCAGCATCCCATATGTGAGCCAGTTTGAGTCCTGACTGCTCCATTTCTGATCTAGCTCCCTCTAATATGCCTGGCAAAGCAATGGAAGATGGTCCAAGAGCTTGGGACCCTGCACCCATGTGGGAGAGCCAGAAGAGCTCCTGGCTCTTGGTCTCAATGTGGCCCAGTCCTGATTGTCGTGGCCATTTGAGGAGTGAACCAGCCAGTGGAAATTTTTCCTTTCTTTGTCACTCTGCCTTTCAATAAGTAAATCTTTTCTTAAAAACAAACAAACAAACAAACAAAAAATTAAGAATACTCAGTCTTCCACATGCTGGGTCACTTCTCCAATGCCCAGGGCAGGGCCAGACTGAGACCATCCTGATCTCCCGCTCAGATGCCAGAGATCCAGGCACTTGAAACACTCTGCTGACTTGCCAAGGTGCATTAGTGGAAGTTGGATCCAAACAGGTGTAACTAGGACTTGAACTAGTGCTCAGATGTGAGGAGTGTAGGCATCCCAAGCACCAGCATAATCCACTGTGCCACAACCCTCACTTCATTCTTCCTTGGTTTCTATAGGAAATAAGATACGCTAAGGGTCCCCATCCCGCCTGGAGGAAGACATATGCACAGGATAAGGCCTGTTTTCCTTAGGGACTCTTAGTAGCATACCCACAAAACCTAATGTGGCAGATGCTTACCTTATCTTTATCAACTAGCGTGCTGGGGCTGGGCCGAGGCCTGTCTTTGAATGAGTAAGTGGCTACTTGCTTGTTTAACAGGTCCAGGAAATCAGGAGGCATGTACTGTGGAAGATCATTCAGGACTGGATTGTTTCTCTGCACAAGAGGTAGCTTTTTCCTTCCTTCATTTTTAAAATTATATGTTGCTGTCACTGGATTTAACAAGGCTTCTTCAAGGAAAGTTTTCAGGTGGTATGTGCCAGGTATAGGAGTATTCTAGGGAAAATCAACAGCTGCTATAAGCCATTGCATTCACCTGTACCTGCTCCCAAAGCATCACTCCCGGAAGAGTAATTTGTAAGTAGTATTTCTTACTGTTTCATAGTTTAACAATGAAGTCCTAGGGGCCTTCAAAACTTTCACAGAAAATGCAGATTATCTTTAACAATTACAAAATGGATTTCAAAGTGCTTTGCATCAAGGTAAATATATTGTTCAATTCCACTTCTGCACAAACTTTTGGAGCTCCCCTGATATAACAGACACTCTTGACAGACAACATTTCAAGGGAATAATTGCTAATTTCTTTCTGAACAGGTTGTTAGTTACAGCAAATCAGTTTTATGTGAATGTTAACATATAAAAGGTACCTTTGGGCCCATCACAGTAGCCTAATGGCTAAAGTCCTCACCTGCATGTGCCAGCATCCCATCCCAGTGGCCCCACTTCCCATCCAGCTTCCTGCTTGTGGCTTAGAAAAGCAGTAGAGGATGGCCCAAAGCCTTGGGACCCTGCACCTGCACGAGAGACCTGGAAAAAGCTCCTGGCTTCGGATCAGTTCAGCTCTGGCCATTGTGGCCATTTGAGGAGTGAATTAGCAGATGGAAACTCTTGTCTCTCTCTTTATAAATCTGCCTTTCCAATAAAGATAAATCTTTTTTTTTTTTTTAAAGGTAACTAACTTCAGGGGCTGGTGTGGTGGTGCATCAAGCTAAACCTCTGCCTACAGCACCAGCATACCTACCATATAAGCACTGGTTTGAGTACCAACCACTCCACTTCTGATCTGGCTCCCTGCTAATGCCCTGGGAAAGCAGTGGAGAATGGCCCATGGCCTTGCGTCCCTACACCCATGTGGGAGACCTGTAAGAAGCTTCTGGATCCAGATGGGTCCAACTCCAGTTGCTGTGGCCATTGAGAGTGAACCAGGGGGATAGGGGTTCTTTCTGTCTCTAAAACGATTAAAAAAGAAAAAAAGGTACCTTCCCGTATATATTTCAATATGCAATAACTATGACTTTAAATTCCAGTTTCCTGACTATTCTATAGCCACTTAGTTAACACTGTTCCTCTGCAGCTTTCAAGCGAATAAATGAAACTGGGGTGGGACTGGCAGCCCACATGGTCTAATTTAGCCCAGTGAGAGGTTTAGTACTTTCAGCAGAGGCTTGGTACTTTCAATAGAGGCTTGGTACAATAGACTTGGTCACAACCACAGTACTACTGAACAGCCAGACCTGGTTTAGTGACTGCTATTCTGGTGGCCGTCTTCCCCTTGAGAACACTTAGCTCACTTGCCATTACAAACATGAGCTCAGGGCAGGTGCTTGGCCCAGCTGTCAAGACAGCCCACACCATGGTGCCTGGGTTCAATCCCAGCCCCATCCACCTTCTAAGGTCATTGAAGTGGTTTGAGGAATAAACTAGCAGATGAGAGTTTTTCTCCCTGGCTGTCAACTAACAGGTGAATATTTATAAAGATTTGCTCAGTTCCATGCAGGCCTTGACCCATGGTCCCTCTTTTATTGCAGGGTACTCAATACAGAAAATATATCTGCAATACAGAAACTGTCTCTTGAGAGGACAGTCTTCGGGTCATTTTTCTTCTCTGTAATACCCTCTTTATGTGTGTTCACCATGGTAACAAATGTTACTGCAGGTTCCACAGCATTTAAGAGAAAAGCTGAGACCAATGCACCCTTCTACAACACGTGGTTTTTTTTCTTTCTTGCACAACCTCATGAAGAGGATAAGAGCATAGATTGACCTCATCTAGCTACCCTGTAAACCATCCACATTCCTGAACTTGCTTTATTTTCCCCATCTTTTCTTGCACTCAAAATTTAAAGTTGGTTTTGCATTCATCTGCTGGTGCTGCAGTTAGAGGGCCGCACAGATCCAAATAATGACTTTTCTTACGGTTATGTACTGATTAAGATACTAAAGCAAATTGCAACCATTTGAATAGGAAAAACTGAAGATATACACACTGTTAATGCTACTCTCCACCATCCTTCTCTTTCAAAAGATGACGTCTTCCGGGTTGGTTTCTATCAATAAGCACAAAACACACTTACTTTTGATAGATGATTCTTTAGAAATAGATACGTTATAAAAAATTGACTGGGAGAAATACCTGTATCAAATTGATAAGCCTTCATGAAAATAAAAGCTACATAACAATCAATTTTGCTCACTTATTTCTTTAAATTGCTATTTTACAACCTTTAATGCATTTGAGTCTCTAGATTCCCTTTGCTGAACTTAGACAGTAATACACTCTGTTTTGGAGAGGTATTTTAAGAACATTTACATGATACAACATGGTGTTCTTAGTACAGAAGTGTTGTGCTTGGTGTCATGTTTGGCCTTGAGCCCCAGCCCCATCACTTCCCAGCTAAGGGCACTGGAGTTACGCAATCCTCACACCTTCGCTTCCTCACAAGCACATACAAATAAAGCACTACAGGAGTTGGCGTGAGAATAAAGCATTGCTGGTGTAAACTTGTGCTCCCATGATCCTTGCTCAACAGATGGGCTGCCTCTGCCAAGCAAAGAGGTTCAGTTAGTACAGTAACTTTTGTCCACTACGCTTTCATTTCAACTAGGAAACATGTGCCATTTCTCTAAAACATATTGCTTCATCCATGCTGCTCTGTCTGGCTTCTATAGATTCTCTTACCAAACATATGTTGAATCACTGTATATTTTATACTGATGGGCCGGGGAGCTTTCTCAGGCAGGTCAAGTGAGGTCTCCCAACTCTACTCAGGGAAATGAAGTGGTAGGAGAGGAAAGAAAATAAACATGCTAAATCTAAAGCAAGTAATTGGCAGCTGCTGTTTGCTTTTGCCCAAGGGAAGTGATCTAAATTCATTTTCTATTTTAAATTCTCTTTGAGGGGAAAATAATAATAATAATAATAATAATAATAATAATAATAAAAGAAGGGTTGAGCATCCCATCCAAATTTATTTAAAAACTGCAACAAAACTTCAAAAATTCTATAGATCAATACTAAGGTAGCAGGTAAGGCAAAATGGAGCTAAGAAAATTCCATTCTCCAGGCTGACAGGAGGAGAAAGAAATCTTGTCCTAATTGTCTAGTGCAATTACTTGTGAGAAGGAAGACACAGAAAGGGTGAAGGCGGCGGCTATGGCAGCCGCACAGGAAAAGGAAATGGAATTTAGGAAAGATTCTATCTATCAAGACCAAGTAATAAGAGCAGCAGGAACGCAAAGCCGGGGGCAGATGGGCCAAGGTGACAGAGATGAGTAAAGACGCGGTTCACCAGCTGTGGCAAGCACTTTACACTCCAGGCCGTCTTACTCCTGAGGTGGTGATGGTGATGCCCTGCTGGTCCATGGCGGCCTCCTCTCCTGGCCCAGGCTGGTGTGCTGTTGCTAGGAGGCCTCTGTGATGGCGTGTCCTCCCCTCCCCCACTCCCGAGCGCACTGGAGACCTTCCCCATCTCCATGGGTGGGCTCAGAGGTGATCCTCCCCAGGTGGAAACCCAAACACAATCTAGAGGGCCCTGGGGTGCCCAGTATCCCAGTATCCTCTGGTGATGCACAAAGGGAGATGGCCAATCTCCAACAGCCCCACCCTCAAACGCCCTTTTATCCCACATTGCCACGCATACTGGGAGATCCCTTCTGGTATAAACCCACCGTAGCACCCGCTCTAAGTTCCTGCAAATAGAAATTCCGGTCGAGAAGGCTGCTATTCTCGCCTGCAGAACAATTTGCTGTGCCTTCTTGACCTACACATTCTTGCCTTTAGAAACAAATCCTTGGGCCTGGCGTGATAGCATAGTGGTCAAGATCCTCCCCTTGAACACGCCGGGATCCCATATGGGCGCTGGTTCTAATCCTGGCAGCTCCACTTTCCATCCAGCTCCCTGCTTGTGGCCTGAAAAAGCAGTTGAGGATGCCCCATAGCCTTGGGACCCTGCACCCATGTGGGAGACCTGGAAAGAAGTTCTGGCATCAGCCATTGCGGTCACTTGGGGAGTGAATCATTAGACAGACAGAAGATCTTCCTCTCTCTCCTCCTCTCTGTACATCTGTCTTTCCAATAAAAATAAATCTTAGGAAAAAAAAAAAAAAGCAAATCCTTTTGGCCCTGCACCCACGTGGGAGACCCAGAAACTCCTGGCTTCGGATGGGTTTAGCTCTGGGCACTTGGGGAGTGAAAGCGGACAAAATACCTTTATCTTTTCTCTATATATATCTGCCTTTCTGATTAAAAACAACTCCCTCCCTTACCCTTAGTTTCACTTTGTAGTGCCTGTGTTGCCCATAATTTCATCTTCGTAACACCTTGGAAAGCAGGCTTTAGTTTCAACTTCACAGGTAAGACACTTCCTTGGACAGCCTCTCAGTAGTTGGCAGACTGCAAATCCAGATCTCATTCCAGACTCCCCTGTGCCACATTTCACCAACATTCAGGAGACGTGGACTCCTTTCCTCCCCTTCCCATGCTTTGTTAGAATCATTTTCCTAACATGTCAACAAACACACCTTCCAATAAAAGCTGGACTTGCTAGACCCTCAGTGACACGCTGCCAACGCCAACGGGGCACTTACCGTTCATTGAAATCAGCCTTCACTTTGCATTGCTGCACTGACTGCTCTTTAGTCCCCCTCGCCCCCTCGGCTCCCGGCACCTGGACACTGGCTGCACTTGGTAGGATTTATTCCGGGCTGTCCTTAAAGAAGGTGTTGGTTGTTATCAAGAGATGTTTGGAACTGGGTGGCACAGTGCCTGCAGTACACGTGGTCTATTTCAGGACAAAAGCACAATTTACAACGCAAGCCCTCACTTCTGTAAGGCCTCACTGCTCCCTGTCGTACTAGTAGAACCCCCCATGCGTCATCTTCAAACTGCTGATTTTCTGTCTGCCCCTCTTCGGCAAGATCATCTTTCCAGTCTAATCCATACGTCCAAAACCCTGTGCCTACCTTTTTTGGGGAACTCAGGATTTCTGCCCTAATTTTAAACATAACCAAAAACAAGTTTTAAACTCAGAGTCCTGAGAACACAGCAGAGCTTAACACGTTTGAAGAAATGACTGACCAGTCTGCATTAGAAGCTCCTTAAAAACCTGAGGAACATACCCAAGACCTCATGATTTTTTTTAAAAGGAAGATTCCAATCTTCATTTCTTACAAAGATCCTTGGTGACCTGTGGGTGACTTGCTGAGCAAGAGACAATAGGACCTCGACTACTCTTTCAAAAAATACTAATAAGGAACTGGGTTTAAAAATGAATGAAATTGGGCCCGGTGGCCTAGCAGCTAAAGTTCTCGCCTTGAACATGCTGGGATCCCATATGGGTGCCGGTTCTAATCCCGGCAGCTCCACTTCCCATCCAGCTCCCTGCTTGTGGCCTGGGAAAGCAGTCGAGGATGGCCCAAAGCCTTGGGACCCTGCACCCGTGTGGGATACCCAGAAGTTGTTCCTGGAATCCTGGCTTCGGATTGGCATAGCATCGGCCATTGTGCTTACTTGGGGAGTGAATCATCAGACAGAAGATCTTCCTCTCTGTCTCTCCTCCTCTCTGTATATCTGACTTTCCAATAAATAAATAAATCTTTAAAAAAAAAAAATGAATGAAATTAGAAGGCCACCATAGTCCTCACTGGAGCACAGAACTCAACCTCAGCGTAAGAAATTCAGTTCATCCCTGTGTCTCACTCCATTTTCTTATTTTGGCCGAGCCTATAACTAGCTCAGTAGATGAGGGACTGTTACTCTCAAGAGGCGGGAATCAGTCCCAGTCCACAGAAGGTACAGAAGTCCAGAAACCCATACAAGGTGTGCAAATGAAGAACATCTATTTGAGAAAATAGTTTAAGTATCTCAAAAATAGAAACAGTATGGGTCAGTAGTTTCAAGGACTTATCCATGAGATAGATTAAGCATGTAGGATAAACAAAATGTTCTCCGCAGGAAACACAGCATTATACAGCCTAAGATTTATTTTCAGGGTATTCTAAATTTGGAACAGGTTTGTAGGTGTGTGTGGGGAGAGGTAGTTTGAAGGAGGCATTTCTTCTTGATACTCGGGTCTGCAGAACACTGAACAGCTCCATGGCTCAGATCCTCTTAAAGTCTCACCCTCATCCAAAGATTCTAAGAAAAATACGTGCCATCCAGGGATCTTTAATCACAATGGTGATGGCTCCAGGGTAAAATAGACAGTGAAGATGTGTCAGATCAGAGAATTATCAATTGCCATAATCCTAACATAAAATGAAAACTGAAAAAGACCTAAAGGTGACTATTTTAAGACTACTGTCCTGGATTCAGATATTACAGAAACAAATTTCAATCCAACTAAGTACTTATTTATGAGTACTGTACTAATACTTTAACATGTCTACTGTGTGGCTTCTGAAAAGGCTCAGAAAAACCAAACACACAAAGCCTAAACCCCCTCTCCCTGTTACCAGCTTATAGAACTGCTCATAATACTATCAAGGTTCCTACCAGATGCATCAATGAAAAATGTGGTATACACACACACACAGTGGAATAGCATTCAACCCTGAGACTGGAATCCTGTCATTGGAGCAAAATGGATACGACTAGAAGACATTTAGTCGGATGGAATAAAGTAACACATGCTCCCCCCACATGGGTAGCAACTGTTGATTACTAATATTGGGAATGGTGGGAGTGATAGCAAGAACCTGGATAAAATTAATAAGGAAAGTTGAATGTGATTTTTGGATAGTGACAAATATACAATTATACTAGTGTGTAATAAGAAACTGCATAATTTTTGGTGTGTAAATTTATAACTATTCCGAAAGTTTAAAAATTTCAAACTGGAAAAACTAAAATTAACTCAATTCCCTTATTTTACAGGGTTCAAAAAATCCTGAGTTGGGGCAGGTGCTGTGAGGTAGGCACACCAAGTCCCCACCTGTCGTACTAGCATCCCACATTTGTGCAGCTTCCACTTGTGATCTAGCTCCCTGATAATGGCCTGGGAGGGCAGTAGAGGAGGGCCCAAATCCTTGGGTCCCTGTAGCTAAACAGGATGCCCAGAGGGAATTCTGACTGAGGAACCAGAAGGTGGAAGATCTATTCTAATTCTGCTTTTCTGATCTTTACTAAAATAAATTAGAAACTTTGCCTGTGATACAGCTCCCAGCTAGTAATGAGCACCCTAGGAAGGGATGGTGACAGCTCAAGTACTTAGATTCTTTCTACCCAGGTGGGAGACCCAGGAGGAGTTCCAGGTATTTGAGCGAACCAGCAGGACAGAAGGTCTCTTTCAACAAACAAAAACCCCCAAGTTAGAAACCAGCTGAGTAAATCATACCCATTTTACAGGCAAGGTTACTGACGTCCTTTCAAGCAAACACACAAGCAGTGATCTGAAGACTGCTACAATCAAACTCCAGGGTCCATGCTTATTTTAACATCCTAAGAGAATGCCTCAACAGCCACAAATAGGAATCTTGTTCCACTGCTTAGTTTGCATGTCCCTGCTTCTAATAAACGGGTCTTCAGAACACACATCTAGAATCTTCCTATTTAATCCATCAACTAATATGTGACCATGTAATTACCCTCATTAAGATTATTAAGGCCTGTTAACTTCCCTTGCTCTGCCTGAAACATTTAACCACTCTTCCTCCATTAATCATCCAATTTCCTATTTTTTAGAACAAAACAGTAGTATTAAAACAGTCAAAAGCTGGGGCAGTAACCTGCCAAATAAGGAATTAGTCCCCCGGCTAATTAAAATACTGTGGCTATTACCAGGTAAGTTGAATTTAATGTTTTAATCTTGGCTCTGGTTTGCTATGAAATCTTTCATTAAGTATTTAAAAGGTAGTTAAACCCTGACAACTACCTTTTTAGTAGCTTAAATTATACACAAAGCAATGCAAGCAAAAACTGAAACAAGGCTTAGTCACTGCCAATCCACTCCCCTAAAACCACCTATCTTGTGCAGCAAAACGTGTCAGGCCAGCACAACTGAAAACTGTTGTCTTGAAGCAAAAATTAAAAAGCGCAATGAGTAAAAGATTAGAAATTAAGTAACCCTTTTCAACTAGATTAAAAGTCTTAATATTCTAAAAACCAGTGTGTAGCTAAAGTATTTTTAAAAGGAGACACTAATCTCCAGGAGGTTAAAGTGTTTTTTAATGCTTTTAATTTGAAGACTGGAAAGATGTACCCTCGTTTAAAAACTAAACACAATCTTAATTTCAAAAAGTATTCTATCAAGATGAAACCAATGAACATTGTTTTATTCAAGATTAGACCTCGGAAGTTCATCAAATGACTCACATTCAGAGCAACAGTTGGGTAAATTGTAATTTTTTTTATTGGAAAACAAATATACAACTTGGAATGGATTTGAGGCAAA